GGTTTTTTCTTTTTTTTCTCTGCACTCACTGTGGGGGGGAAATGGTGCATGGAAGGGAGACTGTATAATCTTCCCCACAGCCACCCCAAAATAACTTTCTTATTTCCCATCTGCATATTACATATGCTTGCTCGACATATATGGCTTCTAACTGGCTTTGGCCAGAAGGCAATACTACATGGAGCAGTCTGTGTTTTGGCTTTGCACCGCACACTCACAGTCCCTCACTTCATCAGTGGGCTTTGGCGAGTGGATCTCACTTTGACACCACAGCATTGTCAAATCAATCACATGCACGCTAATCTGAAGACAGAATCCATCCCCATCACCCATTTAGATTCAAGGGATTATTCCACACAAGACACTGGTTCAGACACTGCATCAGCTGGAGGTGTCAAGAGAATCTCAGAGTCGTACTCAAATCGCTTTACATTAAACTCTCTATTAGTAAATAACTTTCCACAGTTAAACCTATCCTAAATGTTTTTGTTAATGCTTGGTACAGTGATATATGTGATATATGTGATGAAATGTGAGGAATGTAAATCAGTTTGTAATAAGAGAACATGCCCAGTACCTGTTTAATGATATTTTGACTCCAGAATCTTATAAGGAGCTCAAAAATTTTAAATCATTCCCATAATTATTCTTCTATGTGTTTTACAAAAACTCAGAATATTTAACTTATAATGGTAAGAGCCTAGACAACTGGTTTTAATTTAAGCTAATAATTTTTGTTTCAAGGAGAGCTCCATGTCTCTGTCTAACTTTGTGATTTCATACAGCCAGAAAGGAAGAAAACTGAAATGGTGCTGCTCCTACAAATCCTCAGCACAAGTACCCACATTAGTACTGTAAATTCAGTACACATTCCCTTAAAAATGTATTGCAAGAATTCCTACCACCAATCTATGTCCTTCTGGGGTAACACAGTAATAATGGCCAACGGGCCAAAAACTGTTCTCTGACTTCCATGATGATATTCTCATTATGGCCCAGATTTTGATATCATTAATCAAGCACCATCTTATTCCATGAATAGTCATCCCACCAACACAGGCTCTCCAAATAAGGTCCTGTTTAGTGCAAGTCTAGATTTGGCATCGAATCAGAATAGGCTATGCAGATATGAACTTTCAAATTCATATGGAAAAAAGTCATGCTTAAGCACATTTCTACAGTGTATTATGTACCATGAATGTCATTTGTTGTTAAAGTAATGTTGACAGCTCTCATTACAAGAGAAACATATCTTGCAGAATCAGCCTTTGGTGGACAGGGGCAATCAGAAATTTGGCATTCAATTCAATATTGAACTGCAAGTCTTCTACCAATGTGTGAACGTGTTACAGTGCAGCAAACAAAACACAGGATCTAGTTTACTGCAGTGTTCATTTTCCAATAACTTCCATTAACATTTTATCTAATTTTCTGTCTTCTGTGGATGAGTGGTTCCAAAGTGTAATCTCATTGATCCTATGCAACTTCAAACAAGCTCTGTATTTGAAGCTAACCTTTGTTGTCACAGAAACTGCTTCTGTTATATAGACAAAGCCAACCTAGCTCCTTAGACCCATCTTAAAAATGATATCTGGCTCATAGGCTCAGGTTTCTGTGAAGGCACTGAAGAATAATTTATCCTGCACTCTATCATGATGTTGTTCTGTGTCTTCCTAGCATGCGTCTGTTTCTCTTCATCAAACAGAATAAATTAACATCTCTGCATGTCAGTATAACATGCCTATATTCTGTATCTATAAAACCATAACTCCTTCTGGCTTTAAGAAGTAATTTTCAGACACCAGCTCATTTGAAAATTTCTGAGAAAATAGGGAAAAGGAAAAAAAAAAAGAATAAAGAGGAGAGGGGAGCATCTTTGGATAGCTGTTATAATTGCCTGACACTAAAACTGATCAATATAACAAGAAAAAAAATCCCCATACAGTAGGTTAAGTCTGTAGAGCTAATTAGCAACTACCTTGTTCACTGCAGTCACCTCTTCACAGCACATACGAGAACTTCTTACTACGTAAATAGCTTAAGGATGAGTTATCCTATGTGCTCAGTGTTCACCTGACCCTACTTTCTTGAAGCCAATTGTAAATGTAAAAAGAATTCTCCTCTCTTCTCAGATTCAGCTTACGACCACAGTAAAGTACTTCTAGTAGCAATGCCATTTTCTATTAACATAAGAAAACATGCAGCCATCATTTATCACATTGTTTCGTTTCACACCCTCTTCAAAGAAAAAAAGACTGCAGTAGGTGCCAAGCCTAAGATGGAGTGCTATTTCCCAAATATGGAAGATTCTAGAGCATTTTTATAAATGCATATTCTGAGAATTATTTGGAAAAAGGTTTTTTATCCTTTTGCCTTTGGGAAGGACAGCAGTGAAGCTCACAGGCATCTTTGACTCCTGCAGAGTTTCCATCCTGAACCTGTACCTATCTCTATGAGCATCCTGTTACCATACAAAGGTAGCTTGGAGAGTTTCAATGGATCCAAAGGTGAAGTAGTCAGTCAGTCTTCATGCCAGACCTACAACCTCTTTTAAGGTGCCCCTAAAGTACAGGCTAAAACTGGGCATTTGCTTTAATTATTTCTCCAGAAGAAACTACTGTGCAAGGAAGAAAGTAAAATAAACATGCTTATTGCTACCAGGTCTGATAGACCAAATATCCCCAATATTCTATGCTATCTTGTATTTTTTAAATGCTGAAGATTTCATATCCAAGCAGTTCACATTACCACAGTCCAGCTGACAGGCCACAAAGACATGCATATGTTTAAACATATTACACAATAATAGAATCATAGAGTGGCTAGGATTGGAAAGGACCTTAAGATCATCTAGTTCCACCCTCCTGCCATGGACAGGGATGTCACCCATAATAATAAGACAGAAACATATATCTATCCAAAAGAGAAAGCCAGCTCATAAATCTTGGTAATGAAATTTTGTAAGAAAGAAGAATCAATCAATGTTCATGAGAAACAAACATGATGCATGTGCATCTTCACCAAAGATGACTGCACAGTAGCTGCAATCTCTTTGAACCTCATGGTCTGGCTGCAGGCTGCTCTGAGCACAGAACATGAGCGTCAGTGTGACAAAGGCTTCAGTTTTGACTTTTATTAATTTTTATTTTCAAAAGCTCAGTGAGAACCTGAGAAACCGATGGCTCACAAGCATCCAGGGTAAGCTTCTTCATATCTTGTCCATATAGTTACACTTCTCTGTTCTTAAGAGGGAAAGGAGCAAGCCATTGTCTTCATCCAGGAATGATACAGATTAGTCAAAACTTCTTTTAGTAAGCTAGGAAAAGACCCAAACTGAATTCAAGAGCCCTGATTCAGAGATGATTCAGAATTGAATTCCATCAGGGATTGATATTATGAGCTCAAGGTTCAGAGCAGGTGTGCTGCTCACTGACAGATGTAGCTAGAACATAAATATATTTAAGAAAATTTTGAGCACTAACAAAATTCTGTCACTTAATTTTCAGAATTCCCAAGCTTATATGTTTTTTGAGTCTTTGCAAGACTTTTATGGCTTTGTTTTATAACTCTCCAAGGTGAGCATAGACTGGGGCAGATTCTCAGAGATCAAGTGAAAAAAGTTTACTGATTTTAGTGACTAAAGTCTCTCTGAGTCATTAGCAGGAGAAAACTTTACATGATCTGAGTTATTTCTGCTCTAAGAGAATACAAAATAAGCACCTTAATTTTGCAATTGTTCCTTACAAATATGTATACATACAAAGAGGCAGGCTTGCTCAGAGCCATGATTGGTTTATTGTTCTGCTAACTTCAAGAGCATTAAACTAAGTGCATATCAGTCAAAGATCAGCCCAAAAGAATAGGAAAATTATTTTAGAAACATTATTATTATTAGGGACATTATTTTAGAAAAGAACAGTAAATTTGGTATGAAATAAAATCTTCAAGACAGAAGCAGTGTCACACACTCAGACCACAGTGTCAAATGGGTAAATGGAGAAAAAGAAAAAAAAAAAGGATATGGCACAGGAAAAGCTATTTGTACATTTATATTTAAAATTTATATAAAATACATATAAATATGTATTTTAAGTATACATATTGGACTAGTTACAGTAATATCTAAGCATAAGGGTTTCTGGTGTCTGGAACATCTCTATAAGCTCACTGAAAGGTACATTTAAATTCAATTCCTGAAGAGAATAAGAAACAATTACAACATCACACCTGTGATACAGAGATTTGTGTATGCTAGAATTGCCCAATCACAGAAAATAGTACTATATGTTTCTTCTTACCATCAAACTGATCATAGAGTCTAACCATGGATCACAAGGTACTGTGGTTCACAAAATGATCCATGATTCAAGATCATCATGTGGCAGAATCATAATCATTCTGCTGCATTAGAGCCATCTAACAAGCAGCTTTTGCAAAGAGTAACTAAAGAAGATCCAGATTCTTCAATGGAAAGTTCTTGCTTAATTGTTTCTTTTTAATGTTGAGATGCTTCCTTTTTAATTAAATATTATTAAATTTGGATTGCAATTTAATATCTAATTTTATGCCATGGACATATAAAAATTTAATTGCATACTTTATGAGTTATAATACAGTTAGCACAAGTACTATATCCATCTTGATATGTATATCTTGATATGTATATACTATATATATCTTGATACATATATATAGTTTCTCAAACTTTAAATGTGTTTCTTTGAAAAAGCTTTCATAACATTCAAAAAACAAGATGCTTCAATAGAAACTTTTGTGAGATCTACTGCACTAACTAGAGCAGCTTTAAACCTTTTTGTAGACTCAACATTGGCCTTTGATCAAAGCCTGCTAGACCACAAATTATATGTTCACTTCATTCAGCGATTCCCTTCAGATTCAAAACAGCCAAAACTTATTTTACACTTTCTTTGCCTTTCCACATCAGAATCTCTAGTCATTTTTAAATTTTGTAGTGTGTAGTAAATATGGGCCTATCTTACCTTCCATGCGTTCAACGTAGCAGTACACATCATAAGTTTCATTAGGAAAACGGCGGCCATATGTTCTGACTCCTTTCTTTCCCATTTTATCTCCAAAGCAGCCAATTCTTGGATGTCTAATTGGGTACCTGAAATGCAACATGCTCATATTTGTTATAATTCAGCATCTTAAGTCTGTACAGGCTAAGCATATTAATTTTGAGAAACTGTGTCAAGTGGCCTTTTAAATGTCTCACCTAACAGTTTGGTCAGACAACCAGCCAGCATCACATTGCTCAAATCCATCTTCGTAGGCTGCTTTCAGCTGTTCTGGGCTTGCTATGACAGCACCATTGTCCAGACAAGTCTGCTGAGCTTGTGTAAAATTCAGAGTATACCTGCTGGTTGCTGCACGATAGTGAAATACAACACCTGAAAAGGCAAAACCCTTACGTTAGGGACACATTTTGCATTGTTTCTGCAACTATCATCATACTGTAACTTTACCTAGGTATTCTTACAATGCTGAAAAAAGATGGATAGAATAAAAACAGCAAAAGGCTAAGAGATATGTTACCATATAAGTGATGTCCTTCCCTCTAGTGGCTGCTACCAGTAACTCTATAATACCTTATGCTATTAATAGTGAAATTATATTCACTGTATACGTACAAAAAAAGGTTATTAAACTATACATGTATTTTCACTCCTGTGTTACATAAAATGGTGATTAAAAGGGAGAATAAATGCTAAAATCTGTCAATGTCATCACACAGTTACCCAGACACCTCCAGTTCCAAGTGCTGGTCAGCTAATTGCACTGCAGGCTGTTTATGCCAACAGTGCTACCTGACACGTTGGCTTATTGGCTTATATGACACATCCAACTGTGAGTCAAACTGTGTGACCCAAGAAGACTAAGCACATCTAGACTTCAGAAAAAGTGAGCTTAAAAATAGGCTTTCCAAAGCAGTCAGCTGCTGTAACGGCACGCAGGAGTGCCAACATGGAAGGTGGGATCCCTGAGTGCTTGCGGTCTGCTAGCTGCACTGAGACATGCAACCAACCTGAACACCAAAACAATTATACTTTTTGATGCCGATTTGTTAATAGATGATGTCCCAGATGCCTGCTCCTATGCTTCAAAGCCTACTACAAATATAACATTTATAAATACATGGCTGTTCTTGGTCCATTTTTCACAGTTGTCTTTTCCTGCAAACACTACAAACAACATAGACAAAACAAAGTTTGTTTTTATCTGGGACCTTTCTGGTTCTGGAAAGAATCTTGACAATTTCAGAAGTTACTTGAGCACATCAGACATTTGGAGCTTGAGGCCTAGAGTTAAGATGGTTTTAGTTAAGACAGGATCTGCAAGATGGTTTTAGGTAAGACAGGATCTGCCTTGAAGCTACATTCTGTTTTCTATCTACATATAATTCCCACTGAATTTAGCAACAGCTGCACATGCATACCCAAAACCATAAAGGGCACAGACTCCTAAGTGGCAAAAACCAGATATTCCACCTGGCAAAATCACTCTTCTATTGTGTCTTTTAAAGTTTAGCACCAAAAGGATGCCCCTTGATCTCTAAAAAAAAAAAAATTCAACCTCATTTATTGTACTTTTAATGCTTCAGAAACATTGCAGCACCATAAAACATTACAGAACGTAATGCCGCTGCACAGAATGTCTATAAAGCAAGAAAATAAACCATAAAATGTTCATTTTCTCTGCTGATTTTATTGGAGTACTTAATGATGAGGAAATAACATACCGTAATACAGCTTGGGAAAATGGTGGCAACAAATCCTTGTTATTAGAATGTCATTGAAAGATGGAAGAAGTCTGCTAATTTACAAGTAAACAGAAATACAGGTAACAATAAAATGTTGATTCAAGGGCTTCCAACATAATTATAAATACTTTTTCTCATGCAGACAAATTCAGTCAAGTTTTGCCAACTGTCAAAGGTCTGGATATGGCCAATAAATTGAAAATACATATTTTTGTTCTTGTCATGATTCACTAAGAAAGTTTCTGAAATTAGAATTGAATACATTATCTGAAAACTAATCACAGGTAGACCTCAATTGTCATCTGTTTTATCAAATCTACTGGAAGAGAAACAGGCAGTGGAAGAGGAAACACTGGGATTCCCCATATTTCCTTATTTACTATGGAGTCATGCAGCAGCTGCAGCCTCTAACTGGAAGCTTACAGACCACTAATGTCCCCATAAAACGACTTTTCAGACCACTGACAGAACCCATTACAAGCGGTACTTCTTCAAAGAACAGTGTAATTTTAGCTTCAAAAGGACCCAACTATTGTTTAGCAAAAGTGACAAGTGAAGAATGCACCCTGAAAAAATTATGATTATGTTAAATATAGCTAAATTAAAGATACCAGGTGCCTGAAATTCAGTCATCAAGATTGTTAGATTGCTAGTTTAGTTCATTTTATTATTTGGCCAAGGTCCCGTGACACTGTTCCGAACAATCTGCAGGCAGAATTCAGGAGCAAGCAAAGACCAGGATCAGCTTCCAGTGGGCATCTTAACGTGTGCTGCTTCCAGTGGGCATCTTCAGGTGTGCTGGAAGGCAAACGAGCATAACAGCATGGAGGGGGCCACACTGCTTCAGACAGCATCAGTGTCAAAGCACAGCCTCAAGCACGTGTTCTTGTTAATGTGGACTATCTGTACCAGGCTGGATTGAAAGGGAGTATCAGAGAGACAGCTTTACCTAGCTCCTATATCCTTGCACTTTCTCTGTTACAAGGCATCCCGCATTGTCTGGTTAGGACAAATTTACATATCACTTACACTGGATTAAGAAGTGCAAAACTTTATTTTTATATATATATATATATATATATATTTATTTATATGGGTTATGTGTGCTTACGCACATATTTTGGCTTTGTGTGCCCTAAATAACACAGTACTTGACCACATGTCCAACAGGCCTGTTGGACACATATGTTGGACATGTGGCACGTGTTGGACATATACAGAATTTAGTAACATTGGTTGATACCATTAGCAAGTTACCTGCTGGTATAAATGAGCATTATTATTTTCAGTGGTACAGTAGTGCATTAGTTCAGGTGACCTGCTTGGTGTTCTGGGTCCAGAAATAAGAAATGGGCAAAGTTTACAGGGCTTACAACAGAAGCGGATAAAACATCTACCCTGAATTATAAGTATGAACCTATAATAATAATCACAAGCTGGGCATCCGGCTTTACTACATGTTATTGTTGAAAATATGCAAACATCTTAAACATTTTTTGGTAACATTGGTGTTTCTGTAGTGTACAATATTTAGCACTAACTCAGGGTCAAATCCTCAAGTATGTGAAGCAATTTGTTGATTTCATTTGTGGTTTTAATCTTAATTAAAATGCATTTTACATTACCTTATTTGCCTCTTTTTTTGCTGATTTTTTTGTTGTTGTTGTGAGACTGCTTACCTGAAGTTCTATGGCTCCAACTGGGCACAAGAGCAGAGTTTCTCAGTACAACCACAAAAAGTTTAATTAACTTAATAGGAGATGGCAACATATTTCTCTGAACTTGTATTTTTTGTAAAGCTTCCTACTACTTTAATATATAAGTGCATTCTCCACAAACAACTATCTCACCTCTCACTTCTTCGATGTTGGAAACAACCACTGCCCTTCCTAGCTGGTGTATGTTTGGTATCCCTGTGATACCTCAGTAAGGCAAGATTAAAGGGTTAATGTCACTGGCAATTTAAAGTAGCTTTTGCAGTGCTGAGAATAGCCTTTGGTCATTTGTAAATCCTGGAAAGGAACTTGGAGAATGCTTTGTTCTCCTCACTCTGATCCAGAAGGTAAACTTCACTTATTCTTAAGAGCTGAAGGCTTTTCCATTTCCAGTGAGGAGCTAATGGACATAAAAGAGTCTACAAGATGAATGAGAAGGAGGACATCAGTATGCATATAAGCCTGTGCAACAGCTGCAATAATTAGAAGACCCCCTGGGGCTAAGAAGATTAAAGTGCAGGACTTTCATTGTTTCAGTTAGACAGAGAGAGAGGGGCAAAATCCATTGTCCAAGTTTTTGCACTTTAAAACATTTGTAAAAGCTTTTTTTCCCCCTTTTGTCTATTTCCTCTCTGAATGAAAAGGCAAGAAAGGAGCTGTCCTAGGAACAAATAAAGCAACTGGAAAACAGACTACAGCCTTATTATAATGTTGTCTCTGAACATCTGGCAAACAAAGTCAGTGTAATTACAGGAAGAAGTAACACCTCTTCAAGAAATAGCACTCACAGAAAAGTAATTTGTAGCATCCAAAATTCACTTCTGTCAGAGCAAAAGAGACTGTCTTTTAATCATTTATCTTTTAGACCAGAAAATGAAAGCAAAGTATTTCACTTTCAACAAACTAGGGTTTCCTGGTTCTGTGTTTTCACAACCTTTGGGTTGCAACTTTGCTTTATTACTTGCCAGGATATTGTGCAGCAAAACGTCATGGAACTGCAGGCGAAGGGCTCTTGGTATAGCTAATACATTACATTTATACAGAAATAACACTAGGTACTTCACTACTGAGCTCATACTGCAGCAAAATGAATTCATGGTATCACATAAAGCCTAAATTTCAGAAGTTGTCTCACACAGATGAGAAAATCTAAAGAGAAAATACTGTGATGGTTGTGGTTGTTATTCTGATAATTTTTATGTTCAAGCCTTAGCTACTGTGGAGCAGACCCATGAAATAACTCCCAACCCACTGCCAAAGCTACTACAGTTTGGTGATCCTCTTCACCTTGAATGCAGAAGACAATTTACATTACAAATACATGCTAACATAAACACTACAGGACTGAGCACTGTATGAAAGGAAGCAAGAGGGCACAGTTTTCAGCTTCCTGCATGAATAATTCATTTGTGTACCTCATTTGAGGTTTTGCACCCACCTTCTGACCCCTGTCTTGGGCTGGCAACCTGAGAAGAACAAGCCTACTTTGCATAGGTGGGCGCTCCCTTGCCAAACACCTCAGGGAACTCTTCCTCGTGGAGAGAGAAAGTGCATACCAACCCTTCTGCTCTGCCAGTCCCAGCCCTCCTGCTTTCCAGGCACAGAGATCAATTCACACCATGCTCCTCCATGCAAAATCTTTGTGTCCACCCTCACAGAGTGATGCAGCTGAGTGCAGGTGTACACGAGCTCCTCTGACAAAGTTGATCCAGATAAGAAAATTGATTAATGTTGAGATTTATATGCATTTTTCTCAGAAAGATGACTTCTTTACTACATCTGTATTAATCTCTGAATACACAGCAGGACCACCTGCCAAAGCTTGTTTCCTCTGCACTGTAACACACTAGGTCACACAAGTGTTCATTGAGGCCGAGGCTACTTAAATTAAAATCATTTTAAAAAGAAAACAAAC